TATACTTGGGTTGATAAGTGTGACTTTTCAATTATTGAATGTTTATTACGTCCATTTTTATCTTATATTTTAAGCATATAAAAAGTTACCGGTCAATATGATATCTTTTAAAGATGGTAATATTAAGAAGACATGATTTTAGAAGCAACTAGGTTGACAAAAATGATTTAGCAAAAGTTCTCATTATATTATTATTAAATTATAATTAATAATTTAGTAACTTATTATTTACTGATGTTTTGTTCTCACTAACAATTTTATAGATTTATCACATACTTTTTTAGTGAATATTTTCCTGTTGTTCTTTAATCTTTAGTGACTACTTATTTAGGTCGTTCTCACTAATACTTCCATATATGTTTTGACATGCTTTTAGTGACTACTTTCTTGTCTTTTTAATAGCCTCATACCAACAATTTTTTAATAATGATTTTAGTGCTCACTTTTCATCATTGGACAAGTGATGGATAAACAAGCCTAAATGAAATGTTGAATAAAAAAGGGGAGTTGAAAATTTTTAAAAATTTTCAAGTTAGAAAAAAATGCAAAAGAAAAATTTCTATACAAAGTATGCATTATTCAATACTTCTATAGTTTCAAAGATGTTATTATGCATTTGATCTCTAAGGGTTCTTTTTATAGATACATTGCATGGACTCGACATGGAGAAGAACATAGACTATTAGTGAATCTACAACAATTAAATCAAGTAGCTTTTAGGTTACTCCAAAGCAAGTTTCAGTTTAAAAAGAATAACTCAGAATGGATAACATGGAAGAATTACTAAAAAAAATACACTTTATTTAGATGATATCGCAATAAATGCTTAAGTTGACTATGCAAACATAGTAGGGATCCGATAAGTAATAAAATTAAATCTTCAAAAGTGGTAAAAGATGATGAGGCTGAATTATAATTGTGGTGTAACTCATTCTTGTAGTTTTCTTCCATATTAAACTTATGCTATCTAAAATGTCTACATTCTTGGATGGCAAATCTTTTGATGTGATATTAGAATTGTTGGCCATTGCTTTACCTAAAGGAGTTTTATTGCCTGAGAATACATGTGAAGTCAAAAATAATAATAACATTTAACATTGGGTACATAAAGATAGATGCATGCCATAATGATTTTATATTATTTGGTCAAGATAATGTCAATCAGAATATATGCCATATATGTGGTTCATCACGATGAGTTAATATTCAGAAAAACAAAGTTCTAGAGAAAAAGTGAACTAAAAATATTGGTAAGTTTGTTCAATAGTTTGAATTAATACCTCAATTAAAATGATTGCATAAACAAAAAATGTATAATGAAGATATGGTATGTCACTCAAAACACGGTAATAAACATAGAATGTTATATCATCTGGATGATTTTGCAAGATTAAAATCATTTAATTATCTATATTCTTATTTTGCTTTATATTCAAGAAATATCCATCACGATTTGACCACCTATGGATTTAACCATTTTAAACATATGAGCTCCCAAGCTTTTAGTTATATATTGTTTACCTCCTTAAATTGAGATGAAACATACATCTTTCATTCTATCAACTGTAATACCACAGGGGAGAAGCCTAGGTAATAAAATTGATGTTTACCTTCATCGATTAATTTAATAAGAGTTACAAGAACTATGAAAAAAAAATCAATGTTATGATGTGATAACATGTCAAAATTTTAACTACGTGGTGCATCATTATGGACTATCAATGACTTATCTACATATGATATGTTATATGGCTGGAGTAACAAAGAAATATTTGGTTGCCCATGTTGTGTTGAAAGTACAGAATCATTGTGGTTGTACAAAAGTAGAGACTTTCTTCCATGAGTTGTGATGGTGGCTGCCTCAAAATATATTTTTTGTTGATAGAAATATTATTTTGATAATATAGAAGAATTCAAATTTGCACCCCCAAAGAACTACTGGTAGTTAAATTTTATCACAAGTGGAGTCTCTGCAAACTATTTTTGATAAAGCAATTAATAAAGTTCAAAGAAGCCAAAGGAAAAAACACACCGATTTGACAATAAAAGAATTGAATGACATGTTAAAATGCAAGAAAAAAAAATTATTCAGTTTACGTATTTTGGGTTTGTTCTGCATATATTTTGTAACATTTCTATCACACTTTAGTATTAGATTTAGTTTATAAATTTAATACTAATTATATTTTTTATAATTTCATTGTATTAGCTATTCTTTTTTGTGATATGACATAAGGTAGTTAATGAGACATTCTAAAAAAGTTGTATCTTAGAGGTGGTTCTCATATGGGAGACTATAATAGATCATCAGAACCACCTTCTACATATCATATCAGGATTGGAGTCATGCAAAAAGATGTTAATTGAGGTAGAAGTAAGAAAATTATTTATCATTTTACAATATTTATTTTGAATAACAATCCATATATTTGTTTATTTTTCATATATTTATTTACTTATTATATTTATAATCAAAGTTTAGATTCTTAGACACGAGCGATGATGGAGTCTTTACTCGCTTGGGGTAAATTAGTGTAACCATAAAAATTATTTAAAGAGACAACATTAGAATTGTCGTCTAATAGATGAAAGTTTAGAGAATACCTCAAGAGGAGTTGATTCTCTCAAATGGTGGCAATTACTGACCCAATGGTCAAGAGCCAGATGATCAGAATATCTTTATTATTCTGCTTAATGCTATTAATTCTACAAGAGTTAATTTTTTGGTTGAAGGAGAGGGTAGCTAAGAATAGAAAAAATATAAAGAAATAAACTTGCCCTCGCAGAATAGGTCAAGTTAGCTCTATGAGGAAATAAAATGAAATGGTGTAAGATTATATTTTTTTTTTATTTTGTTGTTATGTATTAGTTTCTCATCTTCATTATGCACTTCGTTCATGATCAATTACAACTATGACAATTTAATTGGGTGTATAAGAATGGATCTTGGTCGTCAGAGGATGCTAGACTCAAATGTGTATTATTCGCTTCTCTTATTTGTCAATAATTTTTTTTTATTTTTAATGATGGGTGCATTCTTTTTGTAAGTTAAGTACTTGTCATATATAGGTGCATGCTTGTTAGCTTTTGATAGAAGAAGCTTTAAAACTTGATGATGGATATATTGAGACAAATGAGAGGGTACTCATGAGGATCATGGGTCCTAAAAACCAGGTAGACTACATACATAATGATTTGGAGTCACCCCAACCCATTCCTTTTCGCGCAACACCACATGCATCAACGAAAGTAGAGGAAGCAACAACTTTGATCGAGTTGCCAAGATGGAAGAGAACATCAAAGATATTATGACTTAGATGTGAAGTTTTGCCTCATTTTGAGATAAGATGATAGGGTTTACACAATGAATTGAGACACTTCATCCTCCACCAACCCGTTTGCATATGGTGCATAAATTCTTATAATAAACTCTTACAAATTAATTTTGATCATTACATTTTTTATGATTTCATAAGTATTATTTTACAGGAAGACATGGAACAACCTTCTTAAAATAATGTTAAAGATAACTTTGGAGGAGACATTTGTTGAGGCTGTGTTGGATAGATAATTACATCATGTTGTGTTAGCATCTATGTCTTCAATGTAATGACACCAGTATGCAATCAAATTTTTTTTATTTCTCTAGTCAAATTTGGAGTTTGATGTTGTAATTGCAGTCATATGATTCTTGTTAAGTACTAGCATAATGAATATTCGATCATGAAACATTTATGTTATTTCCGTAAGAAAATTTTTGCATTAATTCAAATTTGATTTATTTTTCATTATGATAAATCATAAGATGATTAGATTATAATGCTTTCATTCATATTAAAATTTTATGTTGTAGTTAACGCCTTCTTAGATTTTGTAATGAAATATGACAGAATTTATAATACAACAAAAAATGTTCCTATAATTTGGATTATTTTTTTTGGTGACAATGCTGTGTAAACTGAAATAAAGAATATTTTATTAAATGAATACATGTAATGTGACATGTTAAACCCACACATTTACCGACAGTTTAAACGGCCGCTTGCATGGATATTTAACGGCGGTTTATTAATCAATGTAGATTTTGTGACGGAGAGCAAGCACAACGGAATGTATAAAGCCGCCCCAAGGAAGTGCACCGTAAATTAAGGGTCTATTTGAGGCAGCTTATTTGGTAAAGTGGTGTTTTAAAAATGCATCTGGACTGTTTGAATAAACTGCATTTTAGCAAATTATACGTTTTAAAAACGCTAAAAGCAACGTTTTCACACCGCACCTATATAGATGCGGTGACAGTTTTGTGACAGCGGTCTAACTTTTCCAAAAAAAATAAAAATTTCTAATAGTCATCGCACCCAACTTATCAGTAAATTATTTTTAATCAACTTATCAGCAGATTATTCAAACAGCCCTAGGTCACTGTAGTTTTGAAAGGCTTTATAACAATCAATATTATCTATGCTCTGATTAAACTGAGTTCAAATATGTCTCCTGCATGATCTGTAAATAATAACGTTATTAGGGATTTTTTTTGAGTTTTAACTGCCAAATTTTCATAAGTACAGCGTCGTCAACTAAACCATGTATTACGTCTCATGAAAAAAAAAACAATAAAAGCAATATCCCAAGTAAAATTTAAGACATTGGAGAACGATAGGAGCCAGAAAAAATATAAGTCGTCAACAAAACCATGTATTACGTCTCATGAAAAAAAAAAGAAAAACAATAAAGCAATATCCCAAGTAAAATTTTAGACATTGGAGAACGATAGGAGCCAGAAAAAATATATATTATAGACATCTGTTTAGCCACAAATATATGGATGGTTCATATTATACATAACTTGCTAGACACTTTTCAAAAACATCAACCAACAAGGTTGTCAACAAATTAAAAATGATGTATTAAAAATTGCATATGATTCTACGAAGAAAAAGTGGCGCACTTCCATCATCTTCAAAAGATTAAAAACTCAAATAATCCAATGAGCTTTTGATGTGGAAAATGTTAAATAAATTTATATACTTGGTTGATCAATAAAACTCTGGTTTTTCCATCAAGCTAGCCGACGATTTTTGGCGACAGGGAAGCCAGAGACCTGAGAGCAGCCGGTGATGGCTTCCTCAAAGTATGCATCAAAAGGATCATGAGAGTCATTAAACTCAATGCTCCAGCTTGGTGACCTGAGGCCAGAGAAACTGGAACGTAGGAAAGAAGAGTTGATATGCCCAACGTTACCTGTTATGTATGACATACATTCATATAATTTCCACAAATACAAATTTTTCAAGAAATAAATAAATCTTTTAAATGTCCAGGAAAGATGCGTGATTTAACATTTCAAAACATTATACAGGTATTCATAATACTGTAATAATGTATTTATAATAAAAAAATATCTTTTACCATATTTTGGTATGTCAAGAATGAATTTTAATTATAATATATTTATAATTTATGATTTTAACTCAATATTTTTTATGTTCGTTTTGAACTATATAAAAACAACATTCATAATACACACCCGTAGTGAAGCTGGCTTAAAATCTATCCCATGTTTGATAAGGTGAGGCAATCACATTGATGAAATTACTTCAAAGTAAAGGTAACAAGAATCCCATATAAATAAACACGAAATTGGGAGAAGACCATCATTTTTTCTTAGTTGTACAGATCAACACTCCCAAATCAAAGTGTATGTAAAGTCTTATAAGATTATTATTCGTAACTCAGTATTTATCTAAAATTGCTAAGAAATACTCCCAAGAGAAAAAAGTTTTTTTTTTTTTTTTCTTTTTATTTTTTTTGAGTGGTTTCATGATATATTTAATGCAATGTCAGCAATCTGGTTAACTAACATACTTTAAAAACAACGTCACGAATAATAATATACTGATTCTCTACTGTTGGGTAGAATAAATTACTGCAGAATAAAAAGATAAAAATAACCTTTAATACTTCAAAATAATACCACATTGCTAAGCATGAAACATTGAACCAAACAGATAGATAACATTGCTATTTAAATAATATTAGTATGTAGACAACATGATTATCAAAATAGAATCAGACATCAAGATCATTTATTGCAGAGAATTTTGATAAAGCGGGCTTTAAAGAATCGCTACAAGTGATTACATCCTATTCAGATTGCATATGTTGTCAGTGCTGGTTTTATAGCCATATAATAATTCAAGATATTCTGTCCATTTTCCAAATGGGTTTTATGTAAACAAGTAAAATTATATCAACTGCCTTGGAGCATATTCATACACAGGGATAGATGAATAAATTTAATTAATGAAACCTTAATTCGCTTTCAAGATATTATTTATGCACATAAATTAAAATTTCACTCACTAATATAATTACAAAAGGGAACCATAATTGCAATATGATTCTGTATTTGAGCCCCTATACGTTGATGCTTTTGGTGCCAACATATTTAAGTTCTTTTGCCAAGCCCAAGTTAATACAATCGCGATCCTAATTCAAGTGGAGTAAAAGTACTTCGCAAATACGGAAATTACTGCACAGAAAAATAAAGTCAATCCACTATCTAAACAATTGGACTCAAATACTGAAGTACATACAGCAGTATGCAAACTTCATCAAGATTTAGTTACTCAGCTTCTCGACCACAATGCTAACAAGTTTTAAAGCAAACTAAGCATTCTTAATGCCTACGTTCTCCCAACAAACTACCTTCAAACCCACCCATGCAAAATTTTTTTCTTGAAGCGAGTAAAATTTTAACAATGGAGACCACAGTAAAAACTGAACCCTGCCAAAAGTACGAAGGGTTACTGACAATGCAACTCTACTCACCAATATCCCATGAAATCAATTACGCAAGAAGTCACTGAAGGGCAAACAAAGTTCTCTGGTGTACAACATTAAGTAACTTAGTATAGGCATGTAGAGTATTACTAATCAGCAATTTGCATTCACCTGATCCAGCAGGCCAACAACTGCTGCGGAACGACCTCTCCACAACCTAATCTAGCTTAATGCCAATCATTTATGATGACTTAAATGAGTAGGGATGAATACTACCGACTGCTTAGACTACACAGCCATCCCATAGTCTACCAAACACTTGAACAAGTCGGTCAATATAAAATCAAATCCGCTAGGTCTGGTTTAACTCAACAAGTATACATAACAGTATATTATATGATTCTTAAATATTGAGCTTCTGGGACGTAACATTCTCGCCTACTTAAGAAATTCATATTTCAAATTCCATGCCAAGTGCAATTGAATAGCTTAGGCTGCTTTTCTCTCATCTCCATCTCCACTTCCAATGTAACTTCTTGTTTGGTTTGTCCATGCCAAAGAAATTTGACAAAAAAGTTAGACAAATGATATATTCTGCTACGAAGTTTGTCTTATCATAACTGTATCCATTTGGCGAAACTTCACAGCTCAAGCTGGACTAGGGCTGTCAAAAAAGCTCGTTGTTCGCGAA